TTATTAACCAGGGATAAATAGTTATTTCTGTGTTTTATCTTACACGTTTTCTTTAGGGTTCTTGTGACGGGCTATCAATTCTTGCGAAAGCCGACACTTCTTGTTACGGGCCAGTAGTGCTTGTGAAGGGCCAACACTTCTTGTGACGGGCTGACTAGCACATCTTGTGATCAGCTAGTAATCGTGTAACGGGCTAGCAACCTTTATGACAGGCAGATTGATTTGTATGCCGAAGTACGACATCAACCGTCTACTAGAGCAGCTGGAAAGAAGTCACAGCGTACCGCAAGTTTTGCTATCTTATTTTTATATTACTATATTACTATTTTATCTATTTTATTATTAGTACGTATTTTAATCTAAACCTAATGTAAACGAGGTAAACGGGGAATATGGTTTACAGTACATTTTTATTAAACCCGAAACACGTCACTAAGAGCTCTTCGTGGGGTATATTCTTAAGGGTAGTTAATATCTTTAATAAGTAACGGAGTTTTACATATTTTTACCCCTAGCGTCCGTAAATAGTACACTGTTATTTGTTTATTTGCTAAATACAGTACACACCTCATGTGTTACATTTTTACGATTGCCCTTAGTCCCATTTAATGATTTTTAAGTTTAATATAGTGTTTTAGTTGTAAATATTACTCCCAGTAGTACTGGATTACTGTTAATAGTTGGGGAATCTGATAGTAATGTACTAAATGATTTAATTGTTATTAATTTGGTAAATATTAGTATATTACATTAAAACTTGGGTATATATTGAACTTTACTTATTATTTATCCCCACTTGCCCTTATATAATGGAATCCCAACACTCGTTTTAAGAAAAGGAGGAAAATTTCCTTTGTCAAAATTTGTATTTATTGAAATGGATGAAACATCTAATGTTTGGTAGGTAATTTTTGAAATATTTTTACTGAAATTCCTCCCTGATGCAGTTTTAGTTTTTATGTCATTACAAACTTATATTATTTCTAAGGAATTTGTTTCTCTTAAAGAAAATGAGTAATTAATAGGTAGAGATTATACAAATTCAAATTTTCTATTTATATTTGTTCAATATTGCAATAAAATGTATTGAAATCGTTAGAATTTATTTTTATTTTGCAAAATTTATGGGTATTGTATTTAAATTATTTTATGCTGATTTAGATTGGAAAATAAGGACCAGAACAACATAATTACTAGGTTGTAAGTTTATCCAAATTCTATTTTTATAAATTAACCTGCCTCTCTTAGATATAAACTTAGATATTACTGCATATAGTTTTTTTTTTATATTACGATTGGAAAAAAGTCACAAGGCTTTCACCATTGCTTTTTTAAAAACTTAAAATAGCCCATGTTAAAGTTGCTTAGGTACTGCATTAGTTATCTGTTAAATTCGTATTTAAAATTTTTTTTGTTGAAAAATGGTTCACAAAAATACCGAATGTGACAGAAAACTAATGTCAGTAGCCATCTTTAATATAGGCTATTGTAAGGTTTTAAATAGACAGAGGTGATTGCTCTACGACGTTTTTTTCCATTCGTAATATTAAAATCCCATATGGATTCAACTTTATGGCACATACTATACATTGATTTTAAACTGTTTTCTTTTCGTAACTGGTGACATAATGAATTTTTCGTTACCAGTTTTACAATGTTCAACATTATGCAACTGGTTGCTAAAGCATATCATTTAGACAGCTGCTTCGATTTAAAAAAATGTCACAATAATATATCAAAATTAGAGAACCATATTTATTGACTATATTGTTGCACCGGCCAGAGGAATTTTAAAATATGAAATTTAAAAGTAATATAAATGAATTTAATATTTATTTAAAACATAATTTAACTAACGTTTTAAATGTTTTTTAGAGGCTGTTATTCCTTCTTCATATCCTGGAATGAATGGTACTTTTTTTTTCACAACCAGTTATCATTCGATTCTATCAGGTTAAGGTTTGCTTTCAACACGAGAAAAATTACTAAAACAAAATACATTAAATCACTTTTTTTAAGTTATAGTAAGTTTTTCACTTTGTTTATTTTTTATTAGGTATATTGAATGCGGAATATTTTTAAAAAGTATATCAATTTGAGTTTCTTTACGTGGCTTCATCAAAGTTGTGTAACTATCATTCATACCTATATGTATATTTATGTTTTTCTTTTTATTATATAAAGTGTCTAATTTGTACATAATGAAGAATATCTTCAAACCTATCTATCTTTTGAACTAGTTTAGATCATGAAATGCATTTTCTTCTAATTTTTATATTTTTTCAGAGTAATTGCCTTTTTTTGACTTACTTTCGCTCTTCATTCTATTTGCAAGGTCTCAAAGTATTTTAATATTGGATATTTTACTCATAAATTTGGATATCGATAGTACTATGGGATTGAAAAATAAAACAATTTCTAATTTACTGAGGCGTATATTTACAAAGTCCATTTAATATACAGTTAATAAATACATTAATCTTATCTAATTTAACTATTTTACATTAAAATTTTGCAGCTGAGCTATATCAAAAATTACATACAATGCTAAAGTGGTTTTGTTTCTGTATGACACAATACAATTTTTAAAAGAAAAAAATCTTTGCACTGAAGAAACAATGCACATGGAAGCATTCGCAGATTCTTGTAAGTGAACATTGTATGATAAAGAAATATTTTGAATACAAATTGTGGCTTAAAACGGTATCTACATTTCTACATAATGAAATATGGTGAACAAATTCATTTTTTTTATGCTGAACAAATTATTGCCATTTCCTTTTTAAAATCATACTTGATATCAGTGGCGGCTCCTGATCAAAATTTTGGAGGTTCACAGTGACAAAATATAGATATCAGTACAGATGAATGAAAAAAACGTTTAGTGTTTTAGAAAGTTTACAATATAATAGCACAAAAATGTTCGGACATCAACTGATTTTGCGAAAAAGTTTGAAAATTTCCTTAAGAGATTCAATATCATCGGTGAAACTTCCTATGTACATTTCATCAAAATTTTCAGTAGATAAAAAAACGTAACAATTTTGTTCTGATGCCTTATACGTATTACGCACAAGGGAGGTCTAAAATCACAATATTTTAAAAGAAAATTACATGGGAGGTTTCGCTAAACTGTACAGAATGTTAGTTTCTATGAACTGGTACAAAAATCTAAAAATGTGATAAAATATCACATATGAGGTTTCACCGCGGCAACAACGATATGTATTGTTTACATCATATTTATGAAATTGTTTTCAAATAAACTAATATTGATTAATAAAACTAAACTAATGTTGATAAAAATGCAATATTTGCTGACACATCATAAATGTTCGGACACGTTAGTAAAACAAATAATATCAAGCCATGGAAACAAAAAAAAAGTGTTCCTATTTTGACATTTTAACTTGAGAATGAATTCGATTATCAATTGGCTCCAAAATATCGCAACAAATGGTGCAATTAGAGAATTAATAGTAAAACTGTTTAACCAAGGAAAAACTTTTCGCGATATTGCTAAACAAATAAATGTCGCAAAGTCCACGGTGTCAGATATTGTGAAAAAATATAGAGAAACGGGTTCAACTCAAATTTCAAGACATGTTGCTGGTCGGCCACGCAAAGTCACTTCCCGAATGCAAAGATCTCTTGTTCGGATTTGTAAAACTGATCGCCGAAATACTGTAAGGGAAATAACAGCAAAATGGAATGAAGAAATAATTGGAAATGTTTCACGAGAAACGTGTCGTCGCTGGATCCATAAGTCTGGTTTAGATTTTTATGAGGTACGTAGGTTACGTTTAAGGAAAATTTCATATTTATGCAGTGAAATCATTGGTTTAGGCAAAAGAAAAGCCGTTGCTGACGGAAAAACAAAAGAAAAGACGATTAGCGTGGGCAAAGGAACGGGAAATGTGGACTTTTAAAGACTGGAAAAGAGTAATTTTTAGCGATGAATCAAAATTTGATGTTTGCATGGGTGACCATCGATCACGTGTTATAAGAAACAAAAATGAAGCCTTTCACAAAGACTGCCTAAAGAGACAAATAAAATTTCCATCAGGTGTTATGGTATGGGGAAGCATGTCTGGTTTCAGTGTTGGAAAACTGAATTGTAAACGCATAAAAATATCAGAACATTCTTGAAATCAATTTGTTAGTGTCAATTCCAATTTTATCACCTGATGGAAACTTTACTTTTCAACAAGATGGCGCCTTCTGCCATACAGCCAAGCCCACAAAAAAGTGGCTGCAAGACAACAATATTTCCGTCCTTGACTGGCCCTCCAGCAGTCCTGATCTAAATATAATCGAAACTGTATGGCATAAGATGAAGCAGCAATTAAGAAATGATCCACAGCGCAACATTTCTGATTTGCGGGTAAAATTGCAAAATATATGGGATTCTTTTAACGCAGAAGATTGCGAAAAACTTGTTAAAACTATGTCTGATAGAACAAAAGGCAAAGGGAGATGCAACCAGCTATTGATGTGTGTCCGAACATTTATGTGTCAATAAATATGCATTATTATCAACATTAGGTTAGTTTTATTGATCAATATCATTTTATTTGAAAACAATATCATAAATATGATATTGAATCCCTTAAGGAAATTTTCAAACTTTTACGAAAAATCAGTAGTTGATGTCCGAACATTTTTGTGTTAGGGCTCGTATACCTTTCTAAACCCCGACAGGTTTTTACCTTCATCTGTACCAAGATCTATATTCTGCTACTGTAAACCCCCAAAATTTTGGTCAAAAGCCGCCCCTGCTTGAAATTATGTGTTCAGTGTGTCAGAAATAACAAGTGATAAAGCATATAAAATGGAACAAACAAAAGTGTTCTAAACATATTTCTAAAAAAAAAAAAAATAAATAAAGTGAGTTAAAATAATGAGAGATATTGCTTGAATTATCAATACACATAAAAAACAGCAAAATATCTGATCTATAGGTATATAAAAAAACTAGTTTTTAATTTTTACAAAGATATCGCATTACTTCTAAGCATATACTTTCTTACTAAATTAATTTTGTATATTATTTCTTTAATGGACAGTCATTCAAAATATTTAATTAATTACATACAATAAGGCTTTTGGTTCCATTTTGCTTCAAAAATTTTACTCATGTTATTTTTAACACCATATATAAATGTGTCTTGAGAAGTGATTTTAAGAAAAATATTTTATTTGCTTTTTGTTGAAGTTTTAAAAGTTTTATCTAATTGAATTGTATTTTGACATGCAGTTCCTACTTATAATTAAATATTTACAGTCTTTTTTATGGCACAAATAAATACATAATATTCATCATTTTGGTTGTGGTATTTAATATAAATATATAGTACGCATTTAGCAGGCTCTAGTAGCCAAAAACGAAGTCCCAATAAGATGTTTTAATAAAATTAATCAATTTCGGTTGTAAACTATTAAACAGATTGTCCTCAATATTTTCAAATGATGATGTTGCAGACAAATATTTTATATATAGTTCTTTAAAAAATTTAAATGAAGCAAAGTTAATAATATTTTCTTATGCCAATGTTTAGATTCTTTATTTAGCCTTCCTCTCAAAGTTTCAGGCCCAAGCAATCTAAGTTGGCATTCATGTATTCATAATAATTACACTGTCTCTTTGAAGTGAATATCAACAAACCAACCTCAATATAACCAGAATTTGAATCAATGTGACCAATTAGCAAACGATGCCCTTTCCCAATTAGATGTTTTAATTCCTAAAAGTTGGATTTGAAGTTCATGTATTAGTATCACGATTGTCAAATCTTTCAAGATTACTATTCCGTAAAACTTTTTATGTATTTTTTTTTACGGAATTACTTATTTTGAATGATTTACACACAATTTAGTTGTTTTTCTCTTCATTTTCCCAATTTTGTCATTTATACATTCTATAGTACCTATTTGGTCGAGTTGGTTACTTAGGAGAGTATTTGTATAATGTAAACAATTCGCATAAGTTGCAAAGAGAATATAGTAAAAAATATTTTTTTATTTTACTTACAAACTAACAGTTCTTCTTCGTCTTCTTCTACCGTTAAAATTTTTTCGTCACTAGCGCGTTATTTAATTCATAAGAACTCATTTTCACCTGTTTGTATCAACAGAGCAAGTTGAACTTTTACTAAAACTGACATGAGTTGAACGCGACAGATTCTGCCGTACGCGTACGGCAAAATTTTAATTTGGCAGGTTAATATGATTATAATGATTGCAAAATAAAAGACAGTGTTAAAATTTGAGGAATGTCTATCAAAGTTGCCATATTATATCGAAAGAAGAATTTCTTTCACTAAATTAACAAAAACGTTTTTTTACAATAAAAAAATAAACAAAAATTGATATTTGTTCAGTATCTACCAATAGTTAACAAAAAGTTTCCACTTTAATCTTTTTAACCAATTAAATTGATATTATTTTTGAATGAATAATGGAACTTCTTCTAAATTAATAAATAACCACCAATAATAATTAACATATTTTACATTAAAAAAATAAACAAATACTATCCAATGAATCAGTAATCAACAAAAAATTATTTAAGCGTATTTTGCATTAACAAATTAATTACCACGAACCAAACGACTCTCTATACATTATATTCAAGATCCTAAACTATGTCCATGATTGGCCAAGTGAAAGTACGGTGTATAACCCGAGCTAGAAGTCTGCAATGGATAAACCCCACCGTACGGTACGTGATGTCCATACAGTAACCCATTATGCGTATGATGGAATCCTGGAAACGATCCACTCGAACCAACATTAGGTGGAGGCACCGTAGGAGAATTCACATCCATCCCGGGATTCTGCTTTTTCCACTTAGTCCTCCGATTTTGGAACCAAATCTTCACTTGGGTCTCAGTCAGGCTCAAACTTATCGCTAGGTTGAGCCTTTCGCACACGCTGAGGTACCTGGTGGTTTTGAACTTGTTTTCCAGCGCTACCAACTGTTCGTACGTGAAGGCTGTTCGGGCCCTTCGAGGTTTGCCGGAATTTTGAGATTTGGAATCGCTTTTCTTCTTTTTCGATGGATCTTTAGCGTCGTCGCTGATGTCACTTTGGAGATCTTCTTCGTCGTCCGATTGATGATCTTTCCCTGAAAAGAAAGATAACATTATAATAAATTATTTAAGTATTTAAACATCATTTAATATAGAAATTACATTAAGTCAGCTTCTAATACAGGAAAGCTACTTTCTATAACAAATATTATTTAGATCCAAAAAATGATTTAATTAACAAAAGCAATCAAAAATAGGGGGTTAAGAGAGATTAAAATATTAAAATAAAACCCTAACTCAGAAACAAAAAGGATATCAACTTGAATTCTTCCGGAAAAATAAAGCTTTTATAGAGGGGGATAAAGCCTATTGATTCTGAAAAAATCTGATTAAAAATGGGGGGCTAAAAGGGGTTTTTTTAACTGTGAAGAGTATTATATAGAAGGCCAAGCAATATATATTTTCAATCTAGTTTAATTTGACTTCAGTTCTAGATTTAAACTTAGGATCTTTTGCATGGCAAGTCAGTGCGCTATCCTCAACTCCATAAATACCTACCTTCTAAGTTTTAAATCTTATAATTAAATTGATTTTATATTATTTTATTAAATTTTATAATTTATTTGTGAAAATAAACAAATATCTTGCAGGATATTAAACCTTTTGCATGCTAAACAAATTTATAATACCAGAGAGGACTGTATTCAAGTGTTCACTAGCCTGTAGCTTTGGATTAAAAGATCGAAGATATCTACACTATATACATTTCTTGCTCAGAAGCTTTATTTGATAGCCATTGAAGGGTGGCTTAAAAACCTAATTGTCGATGTGACTTTGATAAAGGTTGAGACGACTCTAAGTGATTACGTGTTACGGTCTAAAAACCGTTACGGTTCGCGCATTCATTTTGCGCATAAATATTACCAACTGTCTTTATTTTTACTAATCATTATTATCGATTTTAAATTCTTGCATTTTTATTGGATAATAATTGCGTTATTTTTATTTTATTGAATTTGCAAACCTTGTGGTAAATTGATTCTTAAGTTAATTCAACAGAGGCATCCTTTAATTATTCTTTAATTCTAATATTTGAAATATGGTAAAGTCTGTTGTTTATTATTATATTTTTCACACAGTATTATGCGTTTAGTTCCGTCCGTTCGTCCGATGTCAGGTTTTCTTGTCCGAACGATAAATCAAAAACAAAAAACGATATCAATTTGAAAATTTCAGGAAAAATCAAGCTTCAGAAGAGAACGAATCCTATTAAATTTTAAAAAATCTAAATAAAATTGAGTGGGGTTAGGGGGGGTTGAAATATTTAAAAATATCTTAAGTCAAAAATGAAAAATGATAGTAAAAATCAAGCTTTATAAAAGGAAGCCGTTTGATTTTGAAAAAATCTGATTAAAAATGGGGGTAAAGGGTGTTGAAATTAAAAAAAAAAAGTAATAATTAGAAATCAAAAAGCCAAAGCAATATCAAGATGAAATTTTAGTAAAATTAAGTTCTATAAGAAAATGAATCCTATTGATTCTGAAATTTTTTTAAATAAATTAAGGGATTTAGGGGGTTAAAATATAAAGAAGATCATAACTCATAAACGAAGAATTATATTTTTAGCAAAATAAAGCTCTATAAGAGAAAGAAGTCCATTGATTTTGAACAAAAAAATAATAATAACTCGTTGACCAAATATGAACTGTGAGTGGTAGATTTCATATCCATGCAGAGTTATTACTAGATAGAATGGATATGAAATATATTCGATTAGTTGAACCCTATGGCCTATTTTTTCGTTTTGCAGTTGTGCGTAGAATAGTTAATATCCATGCGGGTGTACAAAAAATAGTAATTAATCCAGTAATCATAATATAAATACGTAAGTTAAGGTATATCCTCATTATCTTTTATATAATCAGTAGTAATACTATAAGTACTTCAAAATAATCAGGTTATACATCGATAACTTGTTGCATTATTATAAAGAGTGTCAGTTTGACAGTTTAAATAATCCGACCGCGAAGCGGGAGGATTGTTCTGTCAAACTGACACGATTTGTAATTATGCAGGAAGTTTGAGATGTATAACCGTATTTATTTTGAAGTACGTATTGTATTTGATACGATTATTTTTTGAGTAAATTAAGTAAATATCAACAATTTATTAATTTAAATACATATTGGTACAATGAAAATTACAATTATTAATTATTGATAAACGTCAAAATTTGACGGTCCTGTTAGTGTATTGTTGTCGATGTGGTTACTACGGAAATGAAATTATTGTAAATATTTTTGATTGGTGGAGCTACTCTATGTATAATCAGGTATTATCGAAATTATACGAGGTAACTTAACTAAATTGAACGTTCTAATTGGTTAAAAGTTATACGAAAAAAATAATCAATCTTATTATATAATCATCACTCATTTTATCAAATTTCTGGTGCATTACAAGGTTTAATATTGAGTGCTTCATTAGATTATTCAATGTCATAACCACAAATTTTTATAGTAAACTTTTGTTTTATACTAACAACCAGTGGCGGCTCGTGGGCACTAGCGGCAGTGGGGCACACACTGGAAAGGAATCCCTTGATTCGTTTTTCCCTTGGGAAAACAAGTTCTCCGCTTAATGAAAATTATTATATATTTCAAAACAATCAATTGAGGCAATAACGATTTCTGAATGTGACTAACGGAAGCTAAATATGACCACTCAAAATGCATTTAACTATGTATGTGGCTATTTAATCAAAAAATCATTACATATTCACTGTTGCGAAATTTGCGTAAATTTCTCAGAAGAATGCAATTTACTTAACAATTCTTGTTAACGCATTTTAAAGCATACGATCCTGAAGAAAAGGTGTTTGGCAATTTAAAATCTCCCAGCGAAAAATTTCTCTTTTATATTTTCAAATTAGAAAAAATATTTATATCTCTATTTGATAGTTTGTCAACTAAGCCTGGAATTTCCAACGTTTACCTTTTTGAGATGAGCAAAATAGAATTTGGTCATCCTTGCCAACAATTTGCAAAAATGTACACCATTAAATTATTTATAAGACTCAGAATTTTTTATACTCTTAAAAATGCAAACAAAGATTTGAAATCCTCGAAAAAGTCAGACAAAACCAAAAGAAAAATGAAAATTTTGTCCCATCTTTATTTTCAGATGTACAACATCTACAAATTTATATTCTGTCATATTAAATTTCACAAATTCACAAGTTCGGCGATGTTTTGTAACCCAAGCGGTCGGACTAAACGTTCAACGGTCGCAAGCTCTGCTGAAACTGGAGCCAACGCAATCGTCCGTACTATTTCTTCCGCTGGATGTAGGAAGAAAGTGATAAGAGCTCTAGGATATTGCCGCCGCGTACATTCGTATCTGGTGTAGGTTAATCTGAGACAGCGCTCTGCTTGTGACGTATAATCCATCGCATGTGTTCATCTCTTGCTAAGCGATATTGTCGTTGTCCTTGTTTTTCGCATCATAATGAGAGATAAAACAACAGAGGCATACATTTACTGTGCCCATCTTCGAAGCGTCGCTCAACGCCCGATCGCCCAGTGTCGTGCCAACGCGTTTTGCGCTGAATATTAGATAAAATAATAATATGCATTGAGGAAAATATAAAATATGTAAGTTTTTTTTGTTTATTGCACTAGGGCACGTGCCCAAATGCCCTTACGGGCAAACCGCCACTGCTAACAACTTAAAATTAATTTCAAATGTCCCGTTAGTTGATTTGCTAGTCCCTCATCTGACTGCAAAGAAAGTTACGTTGCTTTTTTGTCCTGTATGTAGGTGGGTGACCTCTTTTATCGTCAGAACAAAGTACAACGTTGTAGCATATCATGGCGATGGATGAGGTCATGTAAACTGCGAAATTCAAAGTAAAATTGCACATTGATGATTTTTTAAGTGCAATTAAAGATATACTTGGCTTAAACGCAAGTTTTATGAACCTAAAAAAAAATATTCTAGATGATATATTTACCCTGTAATAAATTTATTTTAAGTAAGATGAGAGAATTATCATTCTTAGAACAAGAGAAAATTTCGAAAAGTTTACCACCCAAAAACATTGCCGAAGTCAGCACATTTCTTGGTCTGATTAATTATTATCATTCATTGGTTCCTAAACTAGCTACAACGTAACATTTTGTTTAAATCAAAGCATAGAATAAAAAAATAATTAAATTTAAACACAGAACAAAAAATATTTGAATTAAAACATAAAACACTTATAGAAATGTCTCGAAGATGTTACGTTATTTTCGTTAATAAAAGACAAATAAGCGTGTTTAGTGCGCATCACAAAGTGAAGAAGGTCATAGCATTGAATGCCAACAGAAGAACCATACTGTCAACTGTCATTAATGTCCATAAGAATAACATAGTGGTCATTGAATTTATTAAAGCATAATTTTGAAAATGAAAGCAATTTAACTATTTAACATATTAGAGCATATGGATGATAAGGTAATAAAGTTTATATGTTTCTCTACTGATTTAATATTTTTTTTTTTAGGAAAATATTTATTTTCTTTGATTTGAAGAATTTTAACCCAGCCTACTTAAACCCTGGTTTTTGAAGTGGATATAATTTAATTAATTTACACATTCAGAGCATGTAAACGGTAAGTTGATAACATTCACATATAATTCTATCAATTTCATAAACTTTTTTACAGGAAAAGAATTATTTTTCTGTAATTTAAGAAATATTAACCTAAATTATTTAAAGAGTAACTTTTGAAATGGATTTTAAAGCAGTAGCACATGTCCCAGAGGCCAAGTGATTTGCCACAACATGGCAACCTTATTGTAATGTGTCCATTGCAATATTTACCTAACTAAAAAGACCCTGAAGAAGATAAAAGTGCTTTTTATCCAGGGGTTGCGATTTATACTGTTTTTTGTTTAACCATAATCCGTAGAGGCTGAATGGAATCATAATTTAAACATTTTTAACCGGCTTCAAAAAAGGAGGAGGTTCTCAATTCGTCGCAATATGTCTCACCTGCTTCTGTTTTGGATGGACCCAGGCATTGTTTCATCTTGTAAATATTAAATTATT